CATCGCAGGCTCTTCGCGGAGTTTGGAGCCGGGAGCAGGCGCAGGGGCTCCCGGGGGCAGTGCCCAGGGCTCCGCAGCTGCTCCGTGACTGGGTCCTCGACAGTCGGCTGAGGGAGATGAATGACGGTGTTGAGGGCCTCCATCATGTGGGGGGAAAGGGGCCACGTGCTAACCTGACGACTCGGGGGAGGCCTGCAAACTCAGAACTAAAGTAACTTCAAAGGCGGGTCTGAAATGAAAACATTTTTTTAAAGTAAAAGCAGCTTATGGTGGGTAGTCACGTTCTGGGCCGGAATCTTCCTGACAAAGGTCAGTCTCGACCTTAACGGAGCCTGCCTGTGGCCTTTGTGCACCTGCCATCACATAGCATAGCATTGGAAGGTCAAAGTCATTGCCCTTTTTCCGGGCCCCTCAAAGCACAGGCACCCCTCTGGCAGAGACCACAGATCCAATCCCAGAGGTTCCCCCCTTTGCTTTCTCCCGCCTCCCTGATCTATCAGCAATGGATGTCATGTGACCCACTTACATCTATTCAGATTGCAATGTATCAAACAAGGTGAGAAGCCGCCGTTCTCCAGAGCATTACCTCAATCCCTGGAGAGTCTGCTTCCTGCCAATTGTTGACAGTTTGGCTCAAATAAACTCACTCATTTTCCACGGGTTTGAGTGTTTCTTATGTGAAGGTGACAATCACCTCAGCCATTTTAAGAGAATAAATGAAGTGAGGACAAAGGGAAACCAAAAACAAATAAAAAACTACCACCTACCTTGAATACAGGTAGTATAAATGGTGTGTTCACACTTTATCATTTTGGAGCATATTATTATACTTATTTTGTTGTTAATCTTCACTCAAAGATATTTTTTATTGATTTTAGAGAGAAAAAGAGAGAGGAAAATGAACACACACACACACATACACACACACACACACACACACACACACTAGAGGCCCAGTGCACAGATTCGTGCACCGCTAGGGTCCCTCAGCCTGGCCTGTACCCCCTCAGCCTGGCCTGCACCCTCTTGCAATCCCAGACTCCTCGGGGGATGTCAGACTGCCAGGTTCGGTCCAACCCCCTCAGGCCAGACTGAGGGACCCCACCGGTGCATTAGTGCACCGGGCCTCTAGTCTGCCTATAAGATCTTTACTATCTTTCTCCCCTCCCCCCTCCCCCCTTCCTTCTGATATGCATCAGTCTGTTCCATGTTTCTATGCCTGTGCATTGAGCGTTTGCCCTCTGGTGGTCATTGCACGTCATAGCTATCAGTCAGAGTCGGAAGGCCGCTTAGGCTTTTATATACAGAGAGAGAGAGAGAGAGAGAGAGAGAGAGAGAGAGAGAGAGAGCCAATGATTGGTTGCCTCCCACACATGCTCAGGCTGGGGGTCAAACCTGCAACCGAGGTCTGGGTCCTGATGTGGGAACTGAACCCACAATCTCTCTGTTGAATGGGAAGGTGCTCCAATCAACCTGGATTTTCATCAGGCCAGGGCTACATTGATAAAAAAACTCTTTCAAAAATGGTTAGAAGAATTGGGAACCTCATGGGATTACATACTATTAAGGAACCCTCTGAGTCCCAGGTAGATCTCTCAGAATACGTTAGAAATTGCTGTGGCCACGCACGAGGAAAGGGTGAGCTGTGCGGGGCACGTATGCATTGGGATGTGGTGCTGGGGGTGTGACACTGGGGGTGTGGCTCTGGGGGTGTGGCCCTGGGGGGGGTGCCGGTGGGGGGGAGAGCGGGGGGGGGGGGCGGGGGGGGGCAATTGCTGTGGCCACGCACGAGGAAAGGGTGAGCTGTGCGGGGCACGTATGCATTGGGATGTGGTGCTGGGGGTGTGACACTGGGGGTGTGGCTGGGGGTGTGGCCCTGGGGGTGTGGCCCTGGGGGTGTGGCCCTGGGGGTGTGGCCCTGGGGGTGTGGCACTGGGGGTGTGACACTGGGTAGGTTCTGAAGGAGAGTGTGTTAGTCACTGACAGCAGGTGCATTGCAGAGCTGTCGCACTGTGATCCCTGGTTGAAGGGAGGCGGGTGAGGCTGCAGGTGTCCCGTCCTCAGCAGGTGCAGCTCAGCGCGGGCCCAGCTCTCGGCACCTGTGCAGCCGCTGGGAAGTGCGGGGAGGAGGTGGCCAGAGGCTGGCAGCGCTCCTCTGCCTTAGATCCCTGCGTGGCAGCCATACATGTGATGCAGTCCTCCTTCCGCCCCCGGCTGCCCTGACCCTTAGGTGGCACACGTGCCCCCTTTCTCCTGCCGGCCGCGTGCACCCTTTCTCCTGCTATAGCTGCGTGCCCCCTTTCTCCTGCCGGCTGTGTGCCCCCTTTCCCCTGCTATAGCTGCGTGCCGCCTTTCTCCTGCTATAGCTGTGTGCACCCTTTCTCCTGCCGGCTGTGTGCCCCCTTTCTCCTGCTATAGCTGCGTGCCCCCTTTCTCCTGCCAGCTGTGTGCCCCCTTTCTCCTGCTATAGCTTCATGTACCCTTTCTCCTGCCAGCCGCGTGGCAATCTGGGCGTTGGTTTACCGTGCACTGTGGTTATCTCACCTGCGTAAGAGTTCCAGTTTGTTGTCACGACCAGACCTTCCTTCCGGCCTTGACATGCGTCATTCAGTGGCGGTGTGTTGGGTTAACAGAGATAATAGGTTAAAAATCTCTCTCACTTGTCTGCTTGAGGTGAGCAAATGGAGTCCTTGGAATGAAATAAGCTGCTGGCATGCGTGGTGTGCGTGCTGCCATGGCCTGTGTGGGTCTTTGTAGGCGAGATTGTGTGATGAAAACACATTGCAGCTCAGCAAAGCTCTCCAGACAGCTCACACGCAGCTCAGCCTGAACTGGGGTCGGAGTGTGACTGTGGCAGGTTACCCACCAGGTGGACTGGCCCAGGGCCCCACAGTCAGGCGTGGCCGCGATGCTCGTCTCCATGGACTGCCGCCTTCCGTGTGCGTGGGGTGAACATGTTATCGGGAGGAACTGGACGTGTCTCTTCGTTCCATGCTCAGGGATGCTGGCAGGAGGCGATGGTGGCCGGTGACGAGGCTGGAGCAAGAGGAATGAACGGGTCATTTGTGACCCTGATGTTTTTGGAAAATCATTTTAATATATTTTATTGATCTTTTACAGAGAGGAAGGGAGAGGGATAGAGAGTCAGAAACATCGATGAGAGAGAAACATCGATCAGCTGCCTTCTGTATACCCCCTACTGGGTATGTGCCTGCAACCAAGGTACATGCCTTTAACTGGAATCGAACTTGGGACCCTTGAGTCCGCAGGCCGATGCTCTATCCACTGAGCCAAACTGGTCAGGGCGGAAAATCATTTTAAATCCACACGTAATAACTTGGACATATGCAAAACATGCCCTGATTGTGGATGGGATTTAATCTCCTCATTTCCTTACCTTTGAAAGGAAGGCCTGTCTAGGAGGCTTGTCACAGGAGTTGATGAAATTCCCGCAGTTAAAGGATATATGCACCCCTATGTTCATAGCAGCACAATTCACCATAGCTAAGATCTGGAAACAGCCTAAGTGCCCATCAGTAGATGAATGGATTAGAAAACTGTGGTACACCTACACGATGGAATACTATGCTGCTCTAAAAAGGAAGGAACTCTTACCATTTGCAACGGCATGGATGGAACTGGAGAGCATTATGCTAAGTGAAATAAGCCAGTCAATGAAGGAAAAATACCACATGATC